ATTGCATCCCCCATGGAGTGCAAAAGAATTGCGCCTCTCATGGAGCTTGAAATAATTGCACCTCTAGAGCACAAAAGAATTGCTCCCCCATAGAGCGCAAGTAATTGCGCCCTGGAGCGCAAAAGAATTGCACCTCTCATGGAGCTTGAAATAATTGCACCTCTAGAGCACAAAATAATTGTGCCCCCCATGGAGCGCAAAAGAATTGTGCCTCTCGTGGAGTGCAAAATAATTGCACAGGTTGGGACTCGCCAATGAGACCAATGGGCGCAGTGCATGGGTGCCATAAACCTCTGCCAAAGTGGGCTGACCCATTGTATGAGGGGCTTTTCTTCATGCCACCCATCCATGGCGAAAAATTCACCTGTTGTTGCCTGCAGGCGCAACAACGAGGCTGCTGTCAACACATTTAAATACTTACTTCACATACAACAGGTTAATAATATATCTATTTAACTTTCTCCTGTGTGGTCCCCCACAGTGGTACTAACGAGGCAGCACTCTTGTTAACTGCCTGAAAGAACAATGGGCACAACAATGGGATCCATGCAATTGGGCGCAACCCATGGGTGCCAGAGGCAAAGTGGGCCGATCTGTCCTCTATGGGGCTCTGTTCGTGCGGCCCACCCATGTCGCATGGCCTATTTTAGAGTCTCGGCCCAGTCATTCCCAAGGCCGAATTCTTGACAGCTCGGCCAAGTACGCTGGCCCACTGTTGATGGGTGCCTGTCACACACTGCTGGCCCATCAGTGATGGACCCATTTGACTGCCCTAACTGCGCTACCAATGCCAGCTTCGACGTTCAAATGTTTCGAAAAGTGACGTGACTGGTAGGTAGCCTCCTGTTATCGGCAGAAGAAGCAACGTCGGAGAGTTCATGTAAGTGTCCTCTGGTCAGTATGAAGCAAATGAGAAGAGAGAAAATTTTTACATGACGTGTCAAACCCGGCTCCATTTGAATCATTGCCAAAGCTTTCATCCACCCTCATCGCCGCTTAAGCATTTGCGCATCATCAGCTCGTCCAGTGGTTATCCAAATGATCGTGATGATGAGGATCAATTTGCGAGGTCTGGATATATGTGGTCTGTGAAATGCAAGGCAGGAGAGTCACTTACCGTTTTAA